CGTGGATATGCTGGTGGCCAAGAAGCGACGCATTGCCATGGCTGCCTACATCCATAATAAGCAGCATACCACAAAGCCGAGAATCTGGGAAATGATAACATCGGCAGTGCACCGCACAAGCAGCGGAGAAGGTGAGAATGCCTTGACCATAAATTTGGGCTTACGTTTATTTCGTTGGTGACTTTCAGACATCAATCAATTGAAGCAAGAAGTCTATGGCTTGGAGGAGCTACTGCGCTCCGTTTTCCTGGAGTTGAATTCGCTGAAAAACATGGAAGAGCGTCAGCGATGGTCGCAAACGCTGAAGGGAAAGTACTTTAATGTGATTGGACACTTTTTCAGTGTTTACTGCGTCTATAAGATATTTATGGTAGGTCGACCAAAATCATAGTCTCTCTATTAATTTATTTATTTCGCTGAGTAGTGTTGCATCAACATCATATTCGACAGAGTGGGCCGCAAGGATCCCGTAACTCGTGGCCTGGAGATTGCCATCCATTGGTGTGGCTTTGACATAGACTTTGCCTTTTGGAACCAGCATATTTCATTTATGCTGGTCGGCTGCATCGTGGTCACCTCCATACGTGGCCTGTTGCTAACCCTCACTAAGGTAAGTAATACAAGCAAAACACGATTATTTTTCATTACAACTTTTGCTGTTTTGCAGTTCTTTTATCGCATTTCATCGAGTAAGTCCAGCAACATCATCGTGCTGATCTTGGGTCAGATCATGGGCATGTATTTCTGCTCCTCGGTGCTGCTGATGCGCATGAATATGCCCGCCGAGTATCGGGTGATCATCACCGAGGTTCTCGGCAATCTACACTTTAACTTCTATCATCGTTGGTTCGATGTCATATTCCTGGTTAGCGCCCTGACTACCACCGTTGTGTTGTATCTGTCTCGGAAGCCAGTTCCTTCGGATGACTCCGACTTGCACTGATTCTCTCTTTCTGTTAGGTTAAAAGCAATTGTTTTAGAATCATTTTGTTTAACCTCGTCAAGCTTAAGGTTGTTTTAAATCAATGTATGTACATATATACCAGTGTATATATTTATAGAATTAATATTTAACTATACAGTCAATGCGCATAAAAATTAAAAACCCTTCTAAAACGTTATAGTTGTGCTTGATTTTGGTATGTAGTTAGTTTACCATCTGATTTCCCACTAATTCCCGAGCTTTTGTAAGCTTTTGGCGCTTTTGCTTTCTAGGTCTCTGGGTTGCTGGGTTACCGGTGAGTGGCGTGGCCCATTGTGACATAAGGTTGTTGGACTCAACATCGAGAGAGAGTCCGCGCATCGTCTTTGAGCGCATTTAAAATTACTGTTACTCTCCAATCCCGTTGTTCCCAGGTTCCTAGCACAGTCCTCTGTTGTTCTCTGAGGCAACGCGAACAGAATTGTTGGGTAATTATGGGGTGTGGGTTGGACTAGAGAAACATTGAGGTAGCCGTAAGCGTAGGGCGGCTAGAAACTTCACCGCCCAATGCCAATGCTGTTCAAATATGAAAACCAATTAAAGAATATGAATATGTATGGATTGTAACAATCAATTCCTTCGAGATATCCGTTTTTATTTCCTACAAACATTTAATATTCATCTCTTTGAATATTCAGAGCACCTGGTGCGCACCTTAAAGGCAACATTCCAACCATATTCATTCAGTTCCTAGGCTTCCGGAGCGTACCACTTTGGTGGTACGATAAACACCTACATCAAAAATGCCCTTTCAATTAAAGGGGAACGACTTTTTTGTAAGCAGCATTGCCAAAAAGTAATACAGGAATTTCGCAACTGTTACCGCTTCCAAACCGATGCCCACCCATCCCTTGTCAGAGCGGAATCCACTCAGATGAGGAGCAACTTAATGGGCTATTCCGGGACCGCACATCGCTGCCTAAAAATGCCATTAAAATGTTGCGGCTGCCGCAGATCCAACTGGGCGAAAAAAATACATTCCAAATGTCTAGATGAATAAGTGATGAAACAAAAAAATGATTGAAGGGTTCAAAAAGACGGGTGGCTGTTAAAAGAGCACATGTCCAGGGTCGGTGGAGGGTTCACAGAACTGCAATTACGTCGATACCAGCCAAAAGTGCAGGACATGATTGTATTTCATCCTGTCGAAGAATCAATCGGCTGTAAATTCGATGGGTTTTATTTACGGAAAAACGGCGGAACCCTCTCTAATTAGGAGTGACTCGACCCATCCATCGATTTCATCGATTTTTGATTGATAAAATGTGGGTTAAACGTGTGGCAGTGTTCCTCCAGTTGGCTGCTCCTGCTGTCTCGGGGCTGACTTCATGGCCATTATGCAAATTTGGGCAACAATTGATTAGAGTTTCAGTGTGGCATTGCACAAACGTCCCGCCCCGTATGCTTCGGCTGCCACAATTAACGCCGTATGCCCCAGTCACGGTTGGCTAATTAGCATAAATTCAATTAGGTTTCGTGTTTGCGCCTTCGGTTGTCTTTGGAGCCTTGACAGCGGCAGTCCTTCACTCTTCCTCTCACCTATGTACACTTTAGGGCCACACTCGCGCCACCTCTTAAGTCGTTTCCATACTTAGCATATTTCCTGTTTGACATCTGACCTTTTGTTGTGCCTTCATGGAATGTGTGAGATTCAGATTTGAGCCCGTCTGAAGGTGCTGCCACAGGAACGATTTGTGTGTTTGCGGTTATCTGCCTGGGTGTGGCCTCGGGACAAGAGAAAGGCATTAGCATAAGCAGCGAGGCGTTTGTTCAGATTGCCGACGAATCTGTGACAAGTTATGCAATAGATCCTCCCAGAGGATTTACATATGTTGCTACCTATGTTCCCATGGGATATAAGTGTGATACGGATAAGGGTACTTTGGGGACTGCTTACCAGCAGGAACAATTGCATCTGCAGCTGGGGGGCAAACTGAAGGCGAGCCAACTGCCTGCCAATGATCCGACATTACTTCTTGCCCCTGCCTTAATGGGCATTCGTTAACCTTTAGCTTTCGATTCAGCATCATTAAACCTCATCTATATGGCAGCCAAGCAGCTAATTAGGTTCCATCTCCAGCTTGGGCCCAGTCCACGTGCTGAGCGGCTCATTAGTGGAGGGCTCCACATCCACGTAATTAAAGCCTGGCCTGGAGCAAAGCGCAACATCATGGCAATCAAGGAATTTGCAATTATTACATTGATTACCAGATGAATGCCATAAATGGCCAATACAGACCCAAGGGACCCCATCGAATACGCAGAGGAAATTAAACTACATACAGAAATGTTCAGTTCATTAGGCGAGCGCCAGCACTTACCATTTCGCCTTTAAAACTTTAAGCGGAATATTGAATATCTTCTCAAATACGGATTTGCAATCAAATTATTTGCTATATCAAATATTTAAAGGCCCGCAGGCTCCCGCTGCAAAGGGATGGCCAGACGATGGCCAGTCAATGGCAGTTGCCCATCAACAGGGTGCGATCAGTGGATTTATTTGTATACAGCAAACCTTAAACTAAAGATAATAGCATATTGAGTAGAGATTGCCACGCTAATGGTGCTCTTTCAGAGTAAATCGCTTCAACAGCAACACACGGCCACAAACACCCTGTCCGGGCGGAGTGATATATATTTTTTGTTGCCTCAGCCCGGATAGTCTATTTGTTCCCAACCGGACCTGGACCCAGCTGTGTGCGTGCAATCATCGTTTTTAATCATGATGCTGCTAATGGAGTTGAGTGGATGTGGTAGAAGGTAGGACCAGAACCAGAACCAGAACCAGAACCAGAACCTGTACCTGGAAACTTAATCATCCAATGTGGAGTGGCTCTTACATACACACATACATATATGTATACATTATGTACCTGTGATATTTGCCACATAAATGGGGATGTAAGTACAAAGGTGCGTTAAGCTGACTTTAATGCGCCCAAGGCCGCATTGACCAACTGACAGGGCAGGGGGAAAAGCGTTCACAAACCGTATGGGCTATGCACTCACACATCCATACCATTCCACACACTTTTACTTTCAAACTGTGCCAAGATTATTGCTCCATTTAGCGCCTCAATGATTTTTCCTCCCACTAACGGCAAAGCTTAGCACGCCTTTGCCTGTGCCTGTGTGGCTGAGAGCCTCATAAAAGTGTCATAAATGTTGATAAGACATGTTTGTCACACCTCCTCGATTGCCCTCTGCACCTGCACCTGCACTTGCACTTGCACCTAAAGAAATGATGTGCCAGGTTGTTTGTCTGGCGGATATCCCATAGATTGCTTTATTACCTACCCTACCCTACCCTATAACGAGCCATCTATAAGTGGGTTTACTTCCGACATACACACACTCCGTACTCGGATGTCTGTCGATTTATTAGCATAGCCTTTCTTGCGCATAAATGACATTTTGCAGCAGCTTTCAGCAATTGTGTGGAGTCATCTTTCATTCGGTCTTTCATTCCACAATGGCAACCACTTCTCGATCAGAGCAGAGGCCGCAACCCAAGCAATCAGCATTCTAACTGGCCATTTGCTGGATGCCAGTCGAGCATCCCGGGCATCCACGCTAACACTGCCAATGATGGCCTCAATCAGAACTGTCATAAACAGCCACAATGTCGGGTGACAGTCCATCCCGTAGCCATGGCTACCATTGCAATAGAGAGAGAGAGAGAGCAGGAGGAGAGGATGAATGAGCGATAGAGAGGGAGAAAGGAGTGACAGTTGAATCGGTTGAGTCTTGTGTTTCTTTTGTGGAACCATCAAGTGCCATTAATATGGAAATTATGCAAATTTAATTGACTTTCACCGAGACACACAGTTGCCCCATTGTGTGCTGTTTTTGTTCTTTGTTGTTTTGCCCCATCACGAAGGTGTTTAAATGCGATTATGATGGAGATTATGTTTGGCAATAGCAATCGTGAGAGCGGGCAATCCAGCTTAGTAGCCCGACAAAAACTAATCATAAAAGTCATAGCTATAGTTAGAAACCCGAAAACCTGAAAGCTGAAGATGCCGCATCATCAATACGTGGAACACAAGAACACTCGCGGCATAATGCTTGTGCTGCGGCTGGTGTGGTCATTTGCCTATCTGTGGGTAATGCTGCATGCGGCCAGTGTGGTCCCCACGGTCAATGAGAGCTTGGAGAGCTCTGGGCTCTGGAGCCATGAACAAACGATTCTGATCTCATATAAATCTCTAGCATTCTTCAACATACGCGGTGATATCGTACACCTCTGCACAACGGCAGGTATGCTGATCTTCCCCTACCTGTGCTCTCGGAGCTTGCACTCCTCTCCGTATCGACTACTGATGTTTATTATGCCCTACATGTGGTCATTCCTCTTTCAATGGACAACAAGTGTGCCGATGATCTGCTGGACTCTAGTTATTTTGATCAGAGACTATGAGATCGACAGTCTGCGTGATGTGTTTCTGGAGGTTGCCAAAGTTCTGGTCTTCAAAATATTGGTGCTAGCCAATTTCAGCTCCATTATGATTCGCACTTTTGCTCTGCTGAAGATTCTCGACGAACAAGACGAAGAAGGCATCGTGAATGTGGCCAATTTGGGCGAACATTTGAATTTATTCCTGCGCATTTGACCTCAGATCTCTCTACACATAGAGTTTAAATTGTGCTTTTCCCCAATAAAGTTTGGATAACCAGACACTCAGCTATGCGGCGTTTAAGCTGGGAGTTTTCCCCCAATAAAGTTGGCCTCAAAGTTTCGTTTGCTTCGGCGGCTGACAAAGTTTTTGAAGCGCATGTCATGCATACGCCCCCGTTGACGCACTACTTTTTGTTGCAATTTTTCCACTGTGTCCACTGTGTTATGGTAAGTGGAATGAGTTGGGGGTCGTGACAACTCCGGAGAAGTGGAACTTTGTGGTTGGACACATAAATTATATAATCAAATTTTGGAGCTATTATTCAGGGTCTTTCGCAGCTCGTTTTGCAATACAAAAACAAACACTCTCCATGGTCTTTTCCATCCAATCATAGAATAGAACCTCTGCAGCCCCACTCATTACCATAGCAAAGCCATAAATGTCGGCATAAATGTATACTAATGCAGATACATCTAGGTGAAGCCCTCAGGCAAATTACGCATACGCATCGAGAGCTGTTCCACTGTGTGGGAGACTTTAATCGTGAAATATTCTCGTATCCGCAGCCCCCATTGGTTAATCATGTTAGGTGGCTCGACTCAGAACTGCCGCAGGTGTTGGGCTGACACATTTTTCATCTTCATCACCGCTTGGGAATGCGCTCTGGAGCTGGAGCGTTGCGACCTCACAGTCACAGTCACCGTCACAGAGTATGTGACAACTGCCTGGGAGCTAAGCTGCCGTAGAAGAAGCCTTGACTAATCAATATATGGTGGTTGGGGGGGTTGGCACAACTGGGCCAATGGCTCACTCGCCATGAAACTTTCTCAGCTGATTGTGGTATTGATTTTGATAATAGTCCATCGCGGTGGTCGAAGAAAGTGTCCGCTGGGCAAGCAGTGGAACATTATGGCCAAAAAGTGTGAAAAATACTACTTGGGCTCGTAGTCAGACCGACCCGTAATCCCCGATCTTATCGTACATAATGAGCCCAACGAGTCCATTTGGCTCTGCCGCATTAATAGCTACACACACAAAAAGGTGCGCCCAGACTATTAAATCTAATGACAACTAATTTTTGGACTAAGCCACACGCAAAACACCCACCCCCTACCCAAAACATAAACATAATTTATAACATTTTCCGGAAAGAAAAATAAAAGGATTCACAGGGAACGCACAGAAAAACATGAAAACGTGAAAAATGAAATGCCATTTGGTTGGTTTTTCCTTTATCCTTTATTTTTGTGTGTGCTTAGGGGGGGCCAAACAAAGGTCTTCAGAATTCTGTCAGCACTCCATTTGGGCTAGTCCCTGCCTCAATCCATTGCCAATTTGCGGAAAGTATTGCTGAATTTATCCCGACATTGCTCTCCATTTGCACCTCAATCAAAAACTTTTATTAAGTTCCAGACACCAACGCAAATGAAGTGGGAAAAGGGTTACGCTACGGCTTCGCCTCTCTCGATTATTATTATCAACGACAGTTGCTTTTCCCATCGGAATGTTGATTTCTGATTGCTTACTATTGCCAGTTAGCAGTGTGACTGGAACATAAATCAAATGAAGTATATCGTTGCCAGGGGATTCCATTGAAATACTGCCACATTTTGTTGCATTTATGCATTCATGCAGCACGAAAAACACACATAAATACCCATATATCGGAAGCTGCAGCAAAATATAAACAAGATACACACCATTTGGTTGGTAAATCCTGAATGGCCATCGATTTTTTGTTTGGGGCCCGCCTTACTTTTATTATCATATGCAAATGTTCCGCCTGTCGCGTGCAAATTGAATAATCGGGTGGCAAATTGAATGTTCCGCCCAGCCCTTCACACACGTTCTGGTTTGAGTGTGTGTGTAGTGTGTGTAATTATAGACCGGTAGACAGTTGGACAGCTGAACAGGTGAACAGGTTCGGGCCCTCCAGTCCGTTCCGTTCCGCACTGCAACACAGAGGAGAGTCCGTTTATTCTCCGGCCTGACACTGTCATGTGCCAGTTTCAGTCACATAATAACTCAAATTACATTCATTCAGGGGTAGGCTGAGATGGTAAAGGGTCAGCGCATAGCTGCTCATAGACATAGATGTAAGCATGTACCAGATGGTTCTTTGCTTTTATATAGTATAAGATTCCCGACTTTTAGCAGAGATAAAACAATGTTCCGCCCGGGCCGCAGCTGTCTGGCGGTGGCAATAATGAACAACCGCAATCAATAGACTGGAGACGGAGGACGGGGACGGGGACGGGGACAGTACCAAAATGATGGTAAACAACTTGTTTACGGGCTGCAATTGCAGCCAGTCAAACTGTGGGCGGAACGTCCTGTCCACCGTCCTGGCAGTTGGCCAACAAATTACACTAACACTCACCCTGTCAGCCATGTCTGCTGGCCCTGCCAGTCAGTTGGTCCAAGCTGTTGGTTCTGTTGGTCAAGAAAAAGCCAATCAAGATGAGGAGAATTCTGTGAATAATAAAGGGAATTCATTCGAAAATGCAGCAAGCAGATGGTTAAACTCCACAGAGTGCCCAGAAAATTTAATCAGCAGATGCTGCTGCCCAGACTACTGCCACGTGTCGGTCGGAAGTGCCAAGTGGCAGCAAGAGTTACCAATTTGAATGCGTTCAGAGTACCCAGCAGCCAGCACTCCGCACAAAAGGTGTGAACATTAGCAGCTGACGCTAGAGCCGGAATGGCGGCTCTTTCGATGTGATGCTGTTGCTTACTTGGCACAGATTCGTATGCCATTCGGTGCGGCCCACCCGCTGGGGCCACCTGAGAGTGGTCCCAGAAATTGAAGGTTCACGTGGAGCGGTGGCGGTGTGGCTGCGTGTGGCACTTGCCACTCACTGTAAATGTGCTATAACTGCGCACGTGTGCAACCCCACGGATGCATCGTGGAAAAGCAGTGGCCGTGTGCATTGACTGAATCGAATTGTCAGTAGAATGTCCCTTGAGCTGAACGTATTAGGAGCTAAAAGCAAGTCCAACGAATTCACTGCCGATCGATAATCTGAAAGTGCCATAAAAATGGATGCTTGGATTGTATTTACCCGCTGGAAGAGTCAGTCTCCGACTCACAATATATATGGAGAGCCCATCAAAAGCAAATTGCAATCGGCCATCAAAAAGTTGCAAATTTGTTGCCCACTCACAGGTCTTACATGACACTCTCGACTGGCTCTTGTTGCTCCAGCACTTACACAACGCTTTGTTCCGCATGCCTCATAAATTGCGCATACGCCATGTTGCACAGAGAGGCCACCCACAGAGGGCCAGGAGTCAGAGCAGAGGCAGAGGGCAAAAGGAAAGCCAGAACCAGCACAGACGGAACCACGCATAAATTCAAGGGCTGAAATATTTGTGAACCGTGAAGTGACACATAAAACAAGTGGGGAAAAAAGCAGTCAGCTGAAGGTTCCATGGGGATCCGAATATGAGGTTGCAATGGAATGCAAATTGCTCTGGGTCTGTTTCCGTGTGTGCACGTCTCTATCTACCTTTCCGTTCTCTATTTGGTGGCAAGTTTAATTTCATAGTCACACCTACACTTGGCCCATTCTGAGGGTGCACTCTCCGCGGATTTGAGGGAATTTTACACGGAATTTTCCGTAACAGAATTGCAGATATATGCACATCTCCCTGGGGGGTTCTTCTCTTTGCTAGGTGTGTGTGTGTGTGGGTGTGATTGCATGAGAACTTAAATATTTGTTGGCTCTGACTCTGTCTGTAAACATTGGCACGAGGGATAATGCTGTGAAAGTCCTTTTGCCACTCCTTTCCGCTGACGTCTCAAGTGGTTGCCTTTGCCCGGGACTTACCTCCACTAGAAACCTCCACACAGGCCCCATCTAGGTCAAGCATTGTCAGCATCATTCTCTTGGTAGCTCTCGTTCTCGTCCTCGTCCTCGTCGTCAACGCCATCGCAGTCCTCGTCATTGTCATGAAAATGTCTTGTGCTAAAACTGTCAGTGAAGTTCATGTCAGCCGTCAGCCCAGTCAGCACAGTGGCCCGGGCCCATCAGAAAGTCTGAAACTCTTACTGACGGAGTGTGCTGCCACAGTTGACCTTGCCACGTCTGATGCCTCCGCCTAACTACATTAGGTACACCGCAATATACTCTAAATGGATGCATTTATATTTTGCCAAGAACGTGCACCGGAATTTGCCTATATTTAGACCACAAACAGATCCCTTCAAAATGCCCAAACGTCCTTGACAACTGACAGTTGCAGTGGTAATGCCAAGCCACAGCAGCAGCAGCAGCAGCAGCTGGAGAGGCTCACGAGCTCTTGGGGTGGCAACAAAAAATCGTTAAATGCGAGCGCTGGAGGACGCTTGAGGACTAATGCCACACTGGCCAGGCTGCGATAATGACAGTGATGATGGTAAGCTGTTGAGCAGATCAGCTTCTACTTGCTAGGAGGCTGGAATATGAGAGGGTGCGATCAATATATTAGCTGATCAACTGAAATGGTTGCATTTATTACTTTTATTGTATTTACTTTTATTACTCAATTAAAGTTTAGTTGGGACACATTTTGTTTTTGGTTTTCCATCTTGTATATGGAATGTCATGCTGTCATTTGTTGTATCTGTTTTAGCCTGTCTTTTCCTTCAGTTATCCACAGTCTGCATTTTGTATCTGCATTACCCATTTTGCTTGTTTGGATGAATTTTATTTGAATTTGACGCTGATTTCTAATACAATTTCAATGCTCTCCGTTAGCTAAATTGAATTAATTTGAGTTTTAAACATTTATTTATTTAGTGGCTTAGCTTCAAAGTTTTCCAATTCAACTTGCTCTAATACTCTAATACTCACATACCCACCCGCAAGTATATGTGGCTCAGTTTTTGCCGCATTATTTTTGACTTGGGCTTCGTTTCGGCTACATTTTGTTCTCTTTTGTTAAGTAGACAAATTGGTAATACACTTGGTAGAAAAACGAAAAAATTGTGCCACCAGATTGGTAATCGCCTTTCGATTTGCTTTGGTTGATCTATGCCTCAGTTTTCCACATATGTACGTAGAGCCCAGAGGCTGGAAAATTGTGTTGACATCTCCTCGTAGCGTAGCTGCTTGCTGTTGCTCGGATACCCCTAATGTGAAACAACATCGAGTTTCTTTGGTTATAATTCATGTGTGTATATATATGTATATATCTTCATGTAGGTACAATTAAATTTCTTTGACTTTTGGCTTTGGCCAGACAAAAACGGAAAAATGTTTTCCCAAAAGTTTGTTCAGCATTTTCCTTGCATTTGTCGATTTGTCTACAATAAATTTTTATATGGAACATCGTGCCTTTTAATTACCATTTTGTTGTTGTTGTTGTTGTTGTTGATTCTCTTTGTTTTTAAACATTAAGTATTAATTTTACTTTGCAAATTTAACTGGTTTGCCATTTAACGTTTTGTTACTTGTTAGTTATAGTTTAGGTTTAGTTACTGTTTTGGGGTTTAGTCCTAAGTTCGAGAACCAAAATTAAATGTAATTAAATATTAATTAACTCAGTTATCCGATTAATTGAGAGACTTTGAACTAGCAAGAAAAGCTTCCAAATAATGACAATCTATGTTGTACTCTAGACAATGCTTCAAACAATCTCTCCAGCTCTTTAAAGCCAAGCAAAAATCATTCAAACCATTGCCCGACTTCCGACTTATTAATATGCTAATATGTATTGTATAATTATTATGAGATTTTCTTTGGTTTTCCATTTAGTTCACTTAAAAGATTCCAATTGTGTGCCCTCGTCTCGAACGGCCTTTTGCACATTTACAATTTACCAATTTTTTTTGCTTGTTTTTCTGTTACTGTTTCTGTTTCTATTTTTTGTATATATTTATTTTCAGTGACTTTCATTCTTTCAAGCCATGACCAACAAAATTCAAATTGTGATTCCCTTACTCGGGCTGGGTGTCCCTGCGTGTCTTGTGGCCGCGGAACGAGGCCTGGATCTTGGTGGCGGCCTTGTTCAACTCCGGATCGGTCAGATCTATGTCCAATTCCTCGGCAACCTTCTTGGTTATCTCCTGGATGTCCTCATCCTCGGGCGCATCCTTGTTGACCAGCTTGCGTGCCAAATGGCCACGGAATGTGGACTGAATCTTCAGTGCTGCATGGCAGAGCTCTAAGAGAATGAAACAAAAAGATAACGAATAAAAGGGTGTCTGTCAAGAGTGTTGCAAACTGCTGTCAAGTGGCCACAAAACACACACAACAAATTGGTCTAAGCTGCAATGAAAGTTGCAAGAAACCAGGGGTCCAGGGTTCCTCCTGCAATTCCTCCTGCCAATTGCAACTTGGGATGATACTCCAGCAATTGCCACAGTTCGTTGCCAACTATTTTCAATTAGCCTGCGCAGAGTGGACGAGTGTGCCAGACAGATGTTTTGGCTTTCACAATTCTCTATACAATTTAGTGTAATGTTTGAGCGCTATCCCCGATCCCAGTGCTGTATTATTTATAGCTCCTGCCCCTCCTTGGGGCACACCGCAGACTTGATTGTGTTTCAATGCGAGAGCGTAGCGCGAGTGGCCCACAATGGCAGTAAATCTTCTACGACGCGTCCCTGAGCGCTTGTATAAAAGCAAAATAATCGAAATCCCACGCAGAATTATTCCCCATGGGCTCTTCAGAGTGTTTGGTATTCGTTGTTCCTGTTCCTGTGTCAGCTCTTCCTTTTCCGGCCACGTCGCTTGGCTAATCACGTTACGTATACGCAGCGCATATTTGCTGCACATTTAATCTGACACGAGTGCAGAGCGAAGCTCCATTTGAAACACTCACAGCGTGACACACGTCCTACGTGTCCCAGAGTAGTTCCACCTAATAAGCTTACTTTTTCGAAACGGATGGTCAATGTAATCACTGAGTAATTGTGTAAAAGTTCTCTCTGCAGCGGCTTCCTAGGCTCCCAGGCGCCTGTGCATTTTGGCTGCTTGGTAGACGACACGATTGCATCATATCCTCAGCTGGCATTTGGTGTAGTTATGCAAACGTTGGGGCTGCCCATGAACCTAAGCTACTTCCCCTCCACTGGCACTGCTACTTCCCTTGGCAAATATTGTCTGGGAAAACGGTTTGCGTTAATTCGCTAAGCATAATTGGAGTTTGGCCAAGATAAGCATTTGGCAGGGCCATGCCAGAACTACCGGAAGTAGTCGGAGCCGTGACGCAGCCGTGCTCCTTTATCAAATTACCTACACATGGCGTATACGCAACGTGACCCAGGCCGGCATCACGTGCTGCCACTGCATTTACGTATGTGTGTGTACGTTTATTTATAAAATATTTAAAAATAGCAGCAGGACGTGCAAATGACTTTGTAATTCCTGGGATATTCTGCGGCTTAGTGTTTGCTCGCACTCGGCGCTGATCAACCCGTCCCCAGATGTGCCTTCCAACTGCAATCGTCTCGATTTCATTCCAAGTTGTTCCATCGCCACGCTTGCTGTTGACAAAGTTTTGCGATTTTCCAAGGCACCCTGTTCGGATTTAAGAGATTTTCTGCTGTCGACGGTCATGTAACCCGTGTAGAGCAAGCCGCTCACGTACACGACACTGCGTGTCCTGTCACAGGACCATGCCCAAAGACCCAAAATCCAAGGGTATGGTGTCTCCAAAAACCTGCCATCAGTCATCAGGCTTCTGCTTCTCCAACTTTTGCTGCCTGCTCGAGGGGGGGGGGAACACAAATTGAGTTTGCTTTTCTTTCTCTGGTAAAATGTCACAGTGACTGTTGCAGCTGTACATTTTGCCGGTGCGCCATGTCGGTGCGAGGGAGTCGGAGACACCCTATTTGCCTTTTTGCACACTGTTTTGCATGTGTCGAGCCTCGGGGCATCGGTCACGTTGCCTTGATTGACTGACTATCTGACTATCTGACTAGCTTGGGTTCCGTCACGCCAGCAGCTTTTTGGTCTCTCTGCAGCTACACCTTTGATTGGCCTTCGCTCTTATGGCACTCCCCACACACCCCACCCCATACATAATCAGCTTCCACCATTGGGCACGACCATCGCCTACTGCCATTAAGCTCCTTTGCAGCTTCTAGTGCCACAATGCCACAGATCCCCAAGGGGTCTGCCTCGAATGCAATCAATCATGCAGCAGGCAATGCTGCACTTTTCACCTGTCCTTCACGGGCCCTTTATTGTGATTATTGCCAGAGCGAGGGAAAGATTGTTGCCACAACACACGTGCTGCCACTTTGCGTGTGTCGCTGCGTGGCCACTGGTCTCACTGTGGTCTTGACCCACATTTGCCTCACAATGCAAAATGTATCTGGAAAAGAATGGGCAAGGCAAGGCGCTCAAAATATGACAGTGCACAGTGGCTTGAGGACCATTAGCGAGAGTACAAATCTCTGGCGTTTGTTAAGTGATTGTGTCAGAAACAATATACACACACAAGAGTAGTGTTCCACACGGTGGCACTCGTAATGAGCTCTTAATGTTCAGAAAGTAGCCCTACATAAAGGATGCTAGAACGTGGAATAACTTTTGCACAGTCCAACTTTTCGTAATGAGTGATAAGACTTAGCTAAGATTAGGCACAAAAAGGTTGTAATACTCTTACGAGAAGCACCTGGAACCGCTGGTCGGGTACCGCTGCCGTGCTCGCCTTTGTCAGTCAACTTTCCTGTCCAAATGAGTCCCATAATTGCCGGGTTTTCTGCCCTGTTTTCGTACTTTTGTGCGGTTTACCAAATAACGACAAATTGTGACAAATGAACCACGGATAATAAGCTGGTAAATGGAATTTTTAAGCAGAAAGTCTTGTCCTGATATGAGAAATGGGTTTGCGGTTGCCAAGATATTGCCATTTATTTTGGCCTTCTACGTTTGCTTCTTGCTGGCTCTGGCTCTCTGGCTCTCTGGCATAAGACCATAAGAACTAAGCCCATTTTTCAATTTCCGTCAGAACAAAGTCTTGCGGTTTCGTCCTGTTTTCGTCGGGTCTGTTCTGGTCTGCTATTCGCAATCGATTGGACAGAGTTGGGTTTTGGCTGTTTCCTCAAATGCCGTTGGCTTATTATTGGAGAAAATAAATCTTCACGAAAGGCAAACAGAAACAGAAATATTCCTGTTCCAGTTTTATTCCTTTCCTGCGGCAAGTCCTCGCTTTGGTTTGGCGAAAATTTGTCGAAGCCCGAAATGCGGTTGATGCCAAGTGACTGCTGGGTTTGGGTTGAATGGGAGCTTGCCAGGGAATTCAAAACGAACTTTAATTAATATTAATCTCTCGTACAAAAAGCTGCCTATGGCTTATTTTCTACAATACAGCAAGACTGCGAAACTCATTAAAAGTTGGCCCGACTTCCGGCAAATCCCAGCCCATAATTAACTAGATTAAAGGCTTGCATTAAATATGGGATATTGGGTCATTGTTAATTCTATCGGGAAAGTGTAAACACAGCGCACTCGGGCACACATTTTCGTACTTGTGTTCGAGTAGTCGAATTTCCCTCTCAAATGGCAATTAAATATTTATCGAGGGGGAACCTTGCTCAAGCAGGACAACAGGCCTGTGGGGGAATGCCATGAACAGGTGCTAAAATTGTTGAAATATTTAAACAAAACCAACTTGGCTTAAACACTGGAAAGCAGCTAAACAAAATTTCCCCCCCCCCTGTAGACACCTCGTGACAAGCGGGCATTATCCATTCACATTAGAGGTCCGAGAGTCCGTGTCTGTTCCAGTCGCAGTGCCCGTGCCATTACCAGTCCGGCCATGCACGTTCTGTTGTCTGTTTTATTGGGTTGCCATTTGCCATTTGCCATTTGCCTTTGCTGCTGCCTCCATCGGTGTCTGTGTGGGTGTGTGTTAGTGCGGAAAGACACACAAAAAATCGCCAATTCAGCGGCCAAGCAATGTTTTTGGCTGCCTGCTCGGTGCGTGTTTCATGTCAATGTTGTCGCTGTCATTCATGCTTTATTTCACGTATTTCTGTTGTTGTTCCTCTTTTGTTTCTTCTGTCGCCTGCTTTTTAGATCCGCCTTCGTGTACGTGCAACACCGAGGCAGCTGAACAAATACAACAGAAACAAGAGCACTTAACATTTTACTTAAATGGCTCTTGTCCCACCGCTGGCACGGCTGGTGCTGGTGTTTTGTGGGCCTCCTGGCGGTGTAAATGGAATTACAAGCTTGCCTTAAACCCAAAATCCAATTAGGAGAGCGCGCTGTGCTGCTGCTTTATCTGCCGGATGGCAGCTCCTTTGTGACACTTTCCCGCTTCTTCTTAGATTCTTGGATGATGACAGAGTGACAATGGCTGACAATGAGTGTTAAATATATCCACCAATGAGCCCCTTTACATAATATTCATTCGTTCATTTGCACTCTTTTTAGTCAGCTCTTTAAGCTTCGGCTCCAGTGTGTGCATCCAGAAATCAATGCATATCATGGGCCTCCACCAATTACAGCAAACAACGGGCCGAATTTAGTTCAAATTACCATACCGCACTCGCACTTACTGGCAAATGTTGGTATTGTTCGGGAGTGCGAGGGAGTGTGAGCTGGGAGCATAAACTATAATTAGTGAGGGGAGTGAAACTGCAGGGAGAACGAGGCCAGCACGAGCTGGGGCCAAGCCACAGAGCACCCCAAAAACAAATCGCCAGACAAACAAGTCGACCCAAAACACATTAAGACCAAATGCGTAAGCCCACGTTCATGTTTGTGTATGGCTCATGTGTGCTTGTGTTTGATAGCCTTGTGCATTTGTGAATCGGTATGCCTGATGCACGTAAAGCAAGAGCCTTACCATAAGCCAGTAAGCCAAGACCTTATGACCAAAATGCGAAATGCACACAAGAAACGACCATCCTCAAATGGCTCTAGATTTGTGTCCTTTCTGTGGGCCTCTGTGTTTTTGTGTGGATGTGTGTGCGCTCCAATTTGCATATAATATGGCCAAAATGGCTCTTGGCTTTCAGTTTTCCCTCTCTGCACGAAACAACGTCCATTGTTGCGGCTGATATTGTTTTCGCCACAAGTTTACAACTAGGCCAACGCCATTAGCTTGTCGCTGGAGCGCGATAGCTGTGCATAATGATGATGTTCCAACTGCTTTGAAGGAGTTAAATGTGAGCGAATTGGATTCAGTTATGGAGCGGCAACAAAGCATTAAGGACTGTAGCCATCTTGCTACAGACATCCATCCACAAGCTGGCAGCGACTTGCACCTATAATTAAGTGTGGGCTCAGTGACAAAGCCGAACGAGTGAGTCTTCTTGGAGATCTCGTGCGAGCCTAATTAGCCGTCTCAGATATGTGTGCAAGAGGAGGGTTACTTCTCTGGAGACACGCCCTGCACTATAATTAAGGCTACAATGGCAAAGAGACGGAGCAGTAGACAGAGAGAGAGAGAGAGAGGCAGTGAGAGACAGGGACACAGGAAAGCGCTGTGGAAGTGGGAGCCTCACGTGAGCTTTGGGCAAAGAGAAACTGTCGTCTAACAGCTACTGAGAGCCCCTGACACAGTCCTCCTTGCTTATGCGCCTCGCTGACAGTTTCCTACAAGTTTTTAATGAGCGCAGAAGGAGGAGGAGCAGGAGGAGCAGGAGGAGCAGGAGGATTCGTTCTCTTTCGCCTCCTCCTCGAGTGTGCCCCAGACGAATTATGGCTAAAAACTGTCAGCGGTTGTAACATCCTAATAAGGTTAAGTTGCTCGCTCCAACACTTTGGAGATTCTTGTATTATTTATGGGAATGCTGTGTGGATCTGCGGAGTTAACGCTTTGAATATCCCAAGGCTGAAATGAAACTTTTGACAAACACTTTTGGTTGCCTCACGCTCGAAAATGGATTGCACAACACGAAAAGTTTGCTTGTGCGTGGAGGTGGAACCCCGCTGCTTCGGCAAACAATGTGTGAAAGAAGGAATCGAGAATGCTCTGGGGAGGGAGCACACAGATGGCAGCTGTAAAGCAGAAGTGCTGGAAACTTAATCCACAGTTGAGCGGGAATCATGCAGCCACAGACAACAGAGCAGCATTGGGTCAACCTTGCACTTACCTTTGTCGTTCGGATCGAACTCAGCCTCGAGCTCTGCCTTGGTCTGCTCTGCCGAGGAGCCGGCTGCCTCTTCGACCTCTGCAGCGGCTGCGGCGGCGGCGGCTGCGGCGGCGGCACCATTGTTGGTCACAGTTTTGGTTTCCGATTTTTTCATGGTTTCTCTCACTTTGTGGCCTCGAAAGACTGCTTGAATTTTTGTTGCGGCTTTTGCTGTAATTAAAAGTGGACACCAAAAGACAAAAGACAAAAGAGAACGAAAACGAAACTATTAATTTTTGGTTAAGAGTGCAGAAAAGTTTCCCTTTTATTGGAAACTCGATAAGAAAGAAAGGACTCGGATCCATTCTCGTGTGCAATGAGCCAAGTTTTGGTATTCCCTTGGCCTATCCCAGACACTTTCACTTTAACCAACTTTCAATGCAGCGCTCTCAAATAATTAACTTCAAAAGGAATTCTTCAGCCTGGCCGCCCCCGGGGGGGTTAGCCAATCGATTTCGAGACAAGCTCAAGGAATGCTCAGCATTTCTGGCCCCCTGCCAGAGCCGACTCAACAGAAAATGGCAAAAGGGAAACGAAGTTCGCTTTGGCTAATAAACTTCAAGCGAAGTAGAGAAGCAGAGAGAAGAGAAGGAGAATTAAATGGTGGAAGGCTATGTATAATAAAGAGGGATTTATCGAGCATGTTCCAGGGCTGCTTCTCCCGGGTCAGCATTCATTTTTTATGGCACTTTTCACGCAGATACCGAGCAACAACAACAACAACAACAGCAACAACAAATGCAAACAAAACGCTGCCGTCCTTGAATAAGTTATAATAAATTGACACGTGAGGCTTTCGGTACGGGCATTCCCGCCAAACACCATCAATAAGGGAAAGGCAAAGGCAAAGACAAAAGGAAATTTCTAAAAAAGAGAAAATGGTAGTTGTTTGTGCCTGGCACAAGGCTGCCCCCGCAGCACGGGGCACGGCATGGGCTTGTGCATGTGCATGGGTCTACGGCTCTGAGGCAGAGTGTGGCAAGGTTGTCCCTGTCAAGGGGCGAGTGCTATGCTCTTAATAGCTGCCCACAGCGGCTGAAAGTGCTCTCCGGCTTGCCCATTAAATCATCGAATATTCCCCCTGCCATCGGCCTCGCTTTAAGCACTTTTATTGCACACTGGGCTAGTAGCAATCGAATTAAAGCATTTTTATGCCATGCAGCGAGTTCTTTGCACATCGGAACTGTCATCAAATATGCACATATCCCATTCAAAATGAAACAATTGACAAAAACTCTTGCTTGCCAGCAGATGCTGTTTGTTGTTTTTTTTTCACTTTTCCATCAAATGCCAAATTGAATTTATTTGTGTCCCAGCTGTGTCCTTAATTCAGGCAAATTACATTGAAAAAGCAGAGCCCACCCAAGCCTCTAGCACTCATAGTAAAAACCATATTCCAATCAACTTGCTAGCTATAAAAACAGGCTCTTTCTAGGGAAGATTTTTGCATGCACATTTGCATAAATTCAAAACATATTTCCACTGCATCAACAACAATCCAGTCGCACCATGCCGGATGGGCTAATGAGCACAAACCACTGTCTACCTCTAATTAGAAACTGAAAATGAAAAATGAAAAATGCAAATGTATACTCCGCCGCATGCGGCGTGGCAGGTTCTAGTGTGGCCATCAAACTCGGCGAGGCAAGGTTATTTATTAAATAAATATTGCATGCGCCTCATTAAACTTGGCAGAGGCATCAGAGGATGGTGCTCTCAGTGTTCCTTCAGCGCCAAATGCCAAATAAAATTGGATAACCGCAGAAGGTAGATGGAGGAAGTGGATGGAAAGGGCAAAGGGACACGGGACTGGCATACTCACACATTCACACCTGTGTCTCTGGCGCCGGAACATCGACACGCGAAACGGAGCAGTATATCTGTATGTTCGTATAATATAAAGTGCCTGACACTAAACGCAGCACGCACCCAATTACACACGACGTATACGCAATGTGGTGCCAGGAACAGGCTCTGCGCGTGGCAGCCCCCCCCCCCATTCATTCATAATTTGCCATTTGGCGAGCAATAACCCGAAACCATTTCCGTTTCCGACCAGAAGAATCTGATTAAATTTGTCAAGCTGCGAGTGCTTCCCATTCCCCCGTGCTTGTGGAAGTTCTGAGCCGCTTGACAAGGTCCAAGCTGAAAGTTATTCACGCAATTAAAATTCACAACCGAACTGTCCGTTCCGCATTCCTCCAGCAACTTTTTCTGCTACTCCTACTTGGACAATTGTCATTTGAAAAACATTATTTGTTGTCCTAATTAATTGAATTTCAGTGGCATTTGTGCAGTGTCAGGCTGCTGTCAGGGCAGATGTGTAGAGTTATGCTGTTGCCGGCACAGAAAGTTCAGCAAAGCAAACGGGGACACCCTGCTAATGGAAATTAAACTACAGCGAGGGACAAATGTCCCTGGCTCTGTGGGGATTTCAGCAGAACTGCTCGAGCTTCTCTAATTGATTGCCCGCTGCTAAAGCCACGGTAATGAGGCAACTCCCACAGAGCAGAGGCTTAACCCTGACTCTGACCTAGGGTCCTCCATTCCTGGAATATTCTGGTAAAGTTATTTCAATCACAATGCGCCCAGCCAGCCAGGCGGTTATCTGCAACAAATGACTTGCAATTTATTATTTTAATTAAATCCTTAACTGTCAGGGTGGCTGGTGCATTTGTAGAAGGAATTTCAGCTGGCAGTAGGGCGTGCAGCACAGGTGCTGGCACAAGAAAAAATAATACGAGCACAAGCAGAGGAGGGAGGGAGCAGAATGGAGCAGAATGCCTGTAGAATATTAAAACGAATGAGTTATGCAGGAGCCAAAGAGCCAGCAAGAGACTCGGCCTTAGAGCCATAAACTCGGAGAAGAGTCGGGCCCAGGGCTTGAATAAATAAGCAAAACAACGTAGTATTTTGTATTTTGCCCCTCTCTGTTTTGTGAATCATTTTAAATGATTTCATTCATTATATCAAGGGGAAATTCTACTTATAGTTCCATAGGTGCATTTAATGTTGAGTCTTATTGAAAATCCCGCTTAAACCAATGTCAAGTCCGCGTCCCAGACTGGCAATTAATTCAGTGCCCAAACTGACAGACCAATTCGAAATGATACTCTGATAACTCTTTTAATTCCAGCTCCCCTATGCTGCCATATAATTTGCAATTATAAATTAAATGCAAACACTTCCATGCCAGATTCATGGCCTCCGGCTCTTTGGGTTTCCCACAATCCTCGTTGACCTGTCGGTGAGTTTGACAAAGTCCATTAAATGTCCATATGGTGGTGTGCTTGGCGAAACTTTTCCCCATTTAGATTCACTTAGCCAGCCACTTGGGTCCATCATCAGGACACACCCTAGGAAGAGCAGAGGCAGAGTGGCAATGGGACTGTGATAATTTGTGACCAAATTGTCGCCACTCACGTGCCACTGTGCGAAGGTTTATTTATGAGGCCGGTCACGGGGTCACGAGTACAACTGTTATTCCACAACTACTGAGTCTCGATTTATACAGTTAACAATCCTAATTTATTGCCGTGACTCTGTTTGCCATGTTTTCCAGAGTGCGTGCCATTTTTGCCGCCACCTGAGCACCATGGATGACCTTGGAGGGTTGTGGGGGGGGGGCGGGGTTGAGCAATCGATATCAGTTTTAGAAAACGCGAATGTTAATCAGGCGAACGTTTTGCTAACATTGTTATAGTTGTTGTCGTTGCTGGCATGCGAAAGGGCAATGTTTGTCGCACGTGCCACACAAATAGCAGGCGGCTGGCTATTGATTGGGGGGTATCCTTATGGCAGCATTGTAGAAATGATCGGAATTTATGTGATGTCATAGGGATCGCCGCTAATTGTGCCATAAATTACAGGCTCTTATCTGAGCCTTATATGTGACTTAGCAACACTCTCATTCAGATGGGCTGCCATAATGCACAGGCTTTGCATAATTAAATCCTGGCCGACCACAGCTCGGGGTAGGCACTCGCAAACATTATTCATGTGCGATAAAAACCCACTTCCCTGCAAACATTGTCCATTCATTTGTGTGGAAATCCATTATTCGTTCTTCAATTGCCATTCGATACAGTGTGGCAGTCTCCTCGGATTGACTGGCTGGACTGGAATTTGTTTATGCCATTGCAGATATGACTACTCCTATGTCGTCTGTCTTCTGTCTGCCCACAATCGCCTGCGATTAGGCTGTCAGCTAAGAGCCCAATCAGCTAATCGACACACAATCGATTGATGCCTGTGTAAACTTGGCCTGAAGGTACTATAAACAGTTCAGCCACTTGTTATGCAAGATGTGCAGGGCCTTGGAAATTATGAAAATGGAAGAGATGATAACAGCTGTGAGCGAGCATGCTGTTCCACAGGGAACCGCCTCATAGCCTATGAGTCACGTTTCATTCCAGAGAAGAACCAAAAATAAATAAACCCATTTGTTAACTATTTGACTACGTGTCGAGAACATTTCACTCTACAAACCGCTGAGCCTCGAGCAAAGCTTTAACTCAGCATGGCAGGAGTATTTGCTGTCATTGAAGTTGGTCTTGGAGCGGAAGTGCTAGTTTGTTGGACGCTTTCTAGTTGGAAACGCAATTAAACAGTTGCCATAGTTGTGGAAAGTTTTCAATTAAATTAACACAACTTTGGCGCTTCTCTAAATGTTGTAGTTCACGGCAAGAAAAGCAATCAGCAGCAAGTTGGCTATCATTATTCATTTAGGCCCGCCAACAGGAAGGAAGGGATGAACGGGCAAATTAAAGAGTTACCAAAGGAATTTGATTTTTTAGACACAATTTAAAAGTGTGGCCTGCCGGATGTGCTCTCGCTCAGCCCTCCTCCGCCTTCCATTAGCATAGTTCCGGTCTATCTATGAAGGCGCTCCGATCCGATCCGATTCCGGACCTCTCCAGCCCAGAGTTGCGAGCGTTGGTAATATTTATTATTAAAATGCTACTCAAAAACTCGCCTCCAACTTTTGGCAACAAATTTAAAACAGTCCGCAGGCGAAGGGCGCGCAGCACAAAAAGTTGGCCATAAAGAAATGAAAGGCAAGAGGGAAAAAATTCCATCCACCGACAGTCCAGTTCCATTTGCCTTTTTTACCCCAGCATGTATTCATTTTTCATCTCTAGATGCGAGAAGGGAAAGGGCTGGAAAACTAT